CAATCCAAGTATCTATAACAGAATCACAAGATGTTAGAATAGTCACTAGTATAAGAGCACAAATATTCAAGTTTCTTACAAAGAGAACAGACCTTGAGAACATAGTCTGTGATCAAACTGGTTTCCAGGCCAACCATGGCAGTGGCTTTCATGAATGCGTCAATCTCAGGATCTGGCTTTATACCTGCTTCTTTCTCTCGCCTTGACAACTCTGCCAGCATCTCATACCTGGTTCCAACCCCCAAGCAACGTCCCGAGAAATCCATTGTCTCACGGACAGTCATCTCACCGTAGTGAAGATCATGTTGGCTAATGTAAGCACATGTTCTTTGAGGAACAAATTCCTTAAACTCATGGCCACAATAGGTGATTTTTCCAGTTACCTATTCGTGAAATCAATAGGTCAATATTGGAAATCTACCATTATAATTAGCTTGATTGTGGAGAGGACATGGAAAACGAAAGAAAATATGGAATAGAAAGTTGCAAGGTCACAAGCTGCCTTTTCCTTTCACATGTTCTACTGCAAGCCAACTGAGCATATACAAGTAGTTAATTAATAGAAACCCAAGGGAAATGGAAGAAAGGATGACAAACCCTTAAGTCATCATCAGGTTTCCCTGCAAGTGCTCGCATCAATGTTGTTTTTCCTGAACCAGGAGGTCCTAGAAGCAGTGTTAACCTGTGAATCGATAACCAGTAAGTTAATTATAGCGTCATAAAATTAAGCAGTATACTATACATACGGTCTTTTTGAAGAGTGTAGTGGTAATGACAAGTGTCAGGGCCAATCTCACATTGGAAGAGTGGTGTCGAAAATAAGTAATAATATTGGTGGCCTCACTACATGCAGGATTAACTTTTTTTTTTTTTTATAATTTGATTCAAAACACAGGTTTGGCCTTGATTATTAGACTCCCCCACTGCCCTCTCTCCAACATCTTGAGTGAATTCTCAAGGCAGTGTTGATAATGGCTCGGGAGAAGAACGGGGATGTATGGGTTCTTGGAGTTTGGAGTCATAGTATCGAGGTGGTCAAATAATGGCGGGCCACTAAGGGTGGACCCCCGCGATTACGTGGTGTTCCCCTGATTGGAGGAAGTCACCCATCACAGGCTTTGTCTCGACAGAATGGTGAAGCAGAGTGAGGCTCATGTTGGGGGCAACGTAAGGTGTAGGTTAAAGTGCTGGTTGGGGCAAAGTAAAACACACACTAGACTCTTGAGGGAGGACACAATGACTCATGAACAACAAATAACATGGCATACTTCATGTGGGGAGCATTGAATTATCATAATCAAGAGGGTTGGAAGTGAGGGAGATTTTTTAACACGACATGCAAGGGTCACTCTTACATCAGAAAAATGGACTCATCAACTCATAAAAAGCAAATAAAACATGGTCCTTTCAAAAACTGGTGGATCATACTAAAGTAAAAGTTCAAATCCGATGTCGTTCACATGTGAGGGGAAAATAGTTAACAACACAAGTGAGGGTTAGTCACATGTCAAAAGAGTAATTGGGTGGGTTTGCTATTTATAGACTTAAGCTTTTACGTGAGTTAGGTTCTAAACATTGTGTGTTGGGCTATCTTGTTCAGCTTCCCCAGTCTTCCCCCACACATTACTATTTAGCCTTTTCATAGAGAGACCTCAATGTCTACTATGAATAGTAAGAATCAAATTATATATCTGTGAATTCATGAACATACCTTGATGGTTTAATAACTCCATTCACATCCTTGAGTATCTGGACAATTCTTTTCTTCGACGGAGACAGATGAATCATTCCAAGAAATCCCTATACATATTACAGATCAAAAATTTAGAGAACATCCTTCAAAACGAGTAGAAGATCATATTTGGAAATAATTCCCACAGTGAAAAATTGATCCTCTGTACTTTATATGATTTTTTAACTCAACAATGGAGAAAAAGTACTGAAAAATGTCATTCACATAAAATTTGCTAACAACATTTACCCAAAAAAAAATTGCTAACATAATATTATATAGTATAAAGTATAAACTGAATACCAGAAGAAATTACCTCTATTGTATTCAGGGTGGAATTGAGCAGAGTTGGAAGTGCTCTGCTCCCAACATATGCATCTCCCTCAATAGATAAATTCTGGAATCTAACTTCAATCTTCGGAATCTCAATTCCGACCCTATTTCCATCAAAATTTAAAACCCCACGGTCAATATGATATTTAATCGGAAAAAAAAAAAATTAAACACCAGATAAAAACCCTTCTGACATATTTCTTTCAAATCCAAAAGAAACCAAAATTTTGTAGACCCAAGTGAAGTAAAGTCTCCAGTAATATGAGCTTCATACAATATTTGTTAAAGTTAAAATGTTCTGCTTTTTTCCATTTTCTCAGAAATCAAACAGAATCGTTCAAAACAAAAACAGAAATCTAAAAGAGATAAGAAAGGTTTACCTATCAGTCCGATTTCTAAGCCTTTGGAGGAACTTCTCATTATCATTCTCAACAACCTTGAGAATGCTCTCCATTAACTGCTTCTTATCCTGATCACCAAGGTTAGCAACATCAATCTCATCATGAACAACCCTCCCATTACTCATCACCTGCCTCAGCATCCCCTTCCTCATCCTATCGTACGTGGGCAGCCTCTCTATGGCGGCCCATTTCAGCTCCTCTTCATCATCCACCACCTGCCTCTGCGTACTATTCCTCATGAACACATCCGCCGGCCCCTGCCAAATGTCTCGTATACTCTGCGACCGCCAACTCCTACTACTCCTAGCGGAACTCCTCGCCAAATCATCCCCCGCCACCAGCGCCGCCGCCATTTTCAACTTTCTGCGATCACCAGTCCTCCACTTGATATGAATTATCTCTCAGACAATATATCAAACACTATGTGGACTTGTTACGATACACTATATACCCACCACACTGCTGTGCATTCCCGCTCCAGAAAATATCAACAAAGCACGCAGACCAGTAGATTGTTGAAAATAATGAAAGAATGACAATGGGTATGACTTTTCTTCCCTTAAATGATTTTCTCTTGCAGTTTCTGCATCAAAGACTTTGGTGAAGGGAGAAAGAAAACCCGTGGGTCGATATTTTCTTGGAGGAGATTGGTGAAGGGAATATATAGAGAGGCCTTGGAGGAGGTGGCTGAGAATGTACATTTTCTTTCTCTGAATTTTCCTCTGTCTCTCTAGAGACTGGACAAATCGAGGCTGCGAAATGCGAACCGTTGTTTCCTCACACAAAGGTCTGTAGTTGTATTTTGATGACCAATTGAAAAACAAGTAGAAGTAGCTTCTATTCAACCGCTTGTCGTAACTCTCACGCAACGTTAGAGGGGGGCGAGTGGGCTTTCTCTCTCTTGACAATTCCAATCAACTGATTTTCTAATTTTTCTTATTTGCTTATTAATCTAGGTGGTTTTTAGGATTTTTGGTTTAGGAGTTTTGTTTCAAATTTTTTATTTTTTATTTACTTAGTTATGTTCGTGGTTTTTAAGGTTTTGGAAATTATGAATTTTAAGTGTTCAATCCAAAATTATTTAGTACTTAAAGAGAAATTATGATATTCGAGTTATTGTTTGATTAAAAAATCTTAACCCAACTTTAATTTGGCCCGAAATTTTTATTGAGTTGAAGTCGTTGCTTCGAACTCCCTCCTTGATCCTTGTTGTGTAACTTATCGTTGCTTATTAAAAAAAATATCAAATGGAACAAATATTATTTTGTATGTATTTTGTGTGTGTTTATTTTGATATATAAAACATTCCATAATTGATTTTTTTTTATGGAAGACTCCCAACTTACTAATTAGTCATATACAAAATGACTTATTTATAATAGTATAATTCCTACCCATTGGGGTTTAGATTAAAATATCTATTATTTGGATAGAGAGTGTTAGTTTTAGAGTTGTACAGAAAAAAAAAATACAACTTAAAATCACGATTTAAATTCAAACATAACTTGTGATTGGCGTCGAATTCTCTAGATTAAGTTTTACAACCTTTGAATCAAATTTCAACTCGAAAAAGTATATACTTTGCGTTCACAAGTTTAAATGCAATAAATATCCAAATTTAATGGTTTAAATGAGATAAACGTCTAAAAATTAGCTCGTAACTTTTCCGAATAAATTATTCCCGGTAGTCTATCCTAATTACACCCTTCATGGTGAATGTCACCGCGCTAATTGTGAATAGTTCCTTAGTTTTTAAAGTCCAAGGTCTCACATTTTAATAAAAGAATAACGAGACACACTAGAAAACCATGCTTGCTTTTATGCACATGCCACGAAAATTAACAGCCGCCAATTCTAGACCATGACGATGTAGTGGACTATTGCACAAGAGAAAACAAGATGAGGAAGTCTTGGGTTCTAGAAGGGGGCGGCTCAAGCAATTTAAGGTTTAAATTGGAAATAGTAAATTGAGCTCATTTTATTTTTAATATTATTTTTTTAAAAAAATATATTTATTTTTAATTTTTTATGTGAGAGGAAACCAAAAAAAATGTGTTAACGTTGTCGAGAAAGAGATTTCGACTTTTGTTTTTATTTTTTATCACATAGAGGAAGAAAATATTTAATTTCAACTTTTATTTTTTTATTATTGTTTTTTTTTTTTTACCAGAGAGAGAGAGAGAGGGAGTGAGAGTAAATATGAGTTGACTTTTGAGTATTTTTTTAATTTTTAAATTTTGAATGTTATGAATTGGATTATATGCTCAAATTATTAAAATAAAAAATTTGATTGAATTTAATTTTTTGGAGCTTTTTTGTAAGGCTTAAAATTTAATGAATTTAAATTTTTTTGTGAGCTAGTAATATACCTAAAATTGTAAAATTTTCTAAAAATTTAGGGTCTAAAACCATATTTTTTTTCCCATACTGATGGGCCGCCCTGGGTACTAGAAATATTCACCTTGAGTATGAAAGAGAAGTATATTAGGACCATGGAAGCCTTCTCTTGGGAGAAGTTCATCATTATGAGACAGATGATGGTCCTTGGTCTCATGAAGAAGAATTGAACGTGTTACCAAGGGCAGAGTTTGATCTATACTTGGAGGGCTTTGATGGTAGCTCCCAGCACAGGTCGAATACAGGAACTGGGCTTTAAAGTATATGAGAAGATGCTTAAAAGAAAGTATGCCATGGATAAGAATACCAAGCAAAATTTTGAAAACTACCGGAAGAATGCTCTTATGATCCATGATCAGAGGAATGGCGAAGATTTCTTTTTGCCAAAGAAGTCAAGAGTGAGCCACTCCCAATATGCGAAGATTGGAAGGGCCGTTGAAAGTAAAGAACAGATAGTGTGTTGTATGTTGTACTCTCCTTAATGTGAGAGTTGTTCATTGTCTCATTTATATATATATATATATATATATATATATATATATATATATATTGTTGCTATCAATTACAAGGGGTAAATAGCAAGAAAGGAGGAAAGAAATATTACAGATTATGTTTATGGGTCACTAGCCATTGGGAGTGATTTCAGGAGAACTTGTGTATGTCCATAGCAGAAGGCTTGTGCTCTGTAATTAAAATGTGATCAAATTACCAGGATTTGCTCTTTCTTTTTTTGGTTCTTTAGCACCATTAGGAGAATCACTTTCAATATGCCCCTGCAAACTGAGCTGATTGGTGAGGTTCAATTAGGCACGAAGTCATTGAAGATTGAATTGGGAAAGAGGCTTGGTGAAGATGACAGCTAGTTGGTGAAAAGACGAAACACGCCGAGTTTGAAGGAGGCCAAGAGCAACACGTTCTCAGACATAGTGGTAGTCAATCTCAATATGTTTGTTACGGGCATAGAACACTGGATTGACAATCATGTAGAGAGCACTTAAGTTATCACGGAAGAGAACAAGAGTTTTGTTTAGTCGAACACCAAGGTCACGAAGAAGGGAGGCAAGCCATGTTAGTTCTGCTACGGTGTGAGCCATTGAGCGGTATTCAGCTTTAGTGCTTGATCGAGAGACTGTATTTTGTTTTTTTGGACTCCAGGGAAATGCCATTACTACCCAAAAAAGGGCAAAATCCAGTGGTGGATTGTCGAGTCTCCGGACATCCAGCCCAGTCGGCATCTGCGAATGCACATAAATAGAGTGTGGAATTGGATCGTAGTTGGACACCTAGGTCAGTCGTACCCTGAACATAATGGAGAATGCATTTGACCATCTGGTAGTGATCCTCAGTATGGCTATGCATTAATTGGGACACAAAATTGACACTGAATGTTAAATTAGGCCGTGTCAAGGTGAGGTATTGAAGGCCACCCACAATGTTATGGTAATGTGCTTGGTCAGAGAAAGGAATTGAGCTCACAAAGTTCTTCGTTTTTTGAGTCATCGGTGTTGTAATCGGCTTGCAATCTTTCATCTGTGCATGTTCAATGATATCTAGAGCATATTTGTATTGAGATAACACTAAACCATTAAGAGTAGTAGTCATTTGAATACCAAGAAAATAATGTAAAGAACATAAATCCTTCATAGCAAACTCAAGCTGGAGTGCATTAATGAATTCTTCTAGTAAGCAAGTATTTGAAGCAATTAAAATTATATCGTCAACGTAGAATAATAAAATTAAGGAGCAACGATTGAAATGACAAATAAAAAGGGATGGATCGAGCATGCTACAAAAGAATCCAAAGGCGAGTAGAAAGCTACTGAATCTATCAAACCATGCTCTAGGAGCTTGTTTTAAACCATAAAGGGCTTTATTTAGTTTGCAAACATGATTGGGGAAAGATATATTGACAAAGCCAGGTGGTTGTTCCAAGAACACGGATTCATTTAGAAAATCATGAAAAAAGGCATTTTTGACGTCTAATTGTTGAATCTCCCATTTTTGAACTAAAGCCAAGGTAAGAACTGTACCTGATTTTATTATTGGAGAAAATGTTTCAACGTAATCAATGCCTTCTATTTGATGGTAACTTTTGGCCACCAAACGTGTCTTTAAGCGATTTAGGATCCATCGGCATTGAGTTTCGTTTTGAAAACTCATTTGTAGCCGACGACATGCATATCAGGTTGGCGGGGAACAAGGGGCCAAGTAAGAGCCAAATACCCCCAGTGCATTCCAAATTTTCACTCTGTCGTTACATATACCAATTCAATGCAAACCAAGATTATACATATAATCAGGATGTTCACTATGCGATAAGGCACTTGCCATTAGTTGATTTCACATGCATGTCAAAAGTGACCTGCCTAGCCACAAGAAAAATGTCAAAAGCGGATGTGAAACAGTGTCAGAGCATACCTTTCCTTAATCTAGCTGACTAAAAGTAGGGGTGCAACTTGAGTTGGGTAACCTGATTTCAACTCGAGCCCAACCCGAAAAAATTAGGGTTTGGACAAGAATTTTTAATATTTGGGTTGAACTTGGTTAAAAAATCTCAACCTGCATTCAATTTACGTTGAGCTCAGGTTAAGACCTCGAGTTCATGGGTTCAACCCGAACCCGATAAATTTAAAAAAAAATTATATATATAAAACATTAGCACTGATTTTTTATTTTTGGTGTGAAAACAGATAATCAATAATCGTGCACTGTTATGAATAAAATATATGGATTATGTCTTATGAATTTGTCATTATTCTCCCCTCTCTCTGTCTCTCTCGTAGTGGACTGGTGGTAATGATTTTTATGTTTTAATTATAATTTTTATGTTAAAAACTTGGTTGAAATTATTAGTTGTTAATTTATGTGAATATTATGTAATATATGTATTAGGTTTAGAACAAAAAACCTATTTTAGGTTCTATGCGAATTGAACCCGAATTGAACCCGTAAAGTAACCTGAAAACATTAATTTGAATTCAACTCGAATCCGTCCGAATTAAACTCAGGCAGTGCTCGAATTGAGATCTTCAATCCCAAATAGAGTTAAGATTATATACTTAAGATTGAATTAAGATTGACTGTGCAATCCACCCAAATTACGCTCCTGAGAGTAAAGCTTTTTAGAGTTTTTGATTAAGACAAGTTTTGTTTCTCTGATTGGTTGTTTACCATAGCTGTTTCTCATGGACGGGTTGAGTTTCAACAGATCAATGCCACTAGTAGCACTGACAGTAGTGGGTAAACACAAAAAAACAACAGCAGACAAGTTGGAAAATGTTTTATATGGGTTCCCGGGGACTTGGATAAACTTGATTTCGAGACCAAGAAACGATTCTTGGTCAAGAGCAAGAAGGAGGGAAATCCATGATATTGCGGATGCATCTCTTAAAACTTAATGATATGCCCTTAGTTGTTGACAGTGACGAATTTTACTGACAGATGGTGGTTTGGTTTTTGCATTTGCCGAAAGAGTGAAGGTGACAAGTCTTGGCCATATATCTTCTATAACTGTGCATACAACCATGTTATCTATATCGGTTATCCTTTGATTTCAAGTTATGGAATGATTTACGACTATCCCGGATAACTCGATCAAGGTGTTGAAGACAGCTGCCCAGGTTACATTACATTTTTGATTTTTTCAGAGATGAGTATTTTATTTTTTTTTATTTATGTTTCTGTCCCAGTTATTTTTTACCTTATATAGTTGGGAAAATGTTTTGAATTTCATTATATTTTTTTAGGGTGTTATGCCAATCGTAAAACTCATAAATTGGGGGATCCTCGATTGACCTGTAATGCATAGGTGAGTTGTATTTAGCCTTATATGTGATATGTTGAAGTGTAATAACAATAAAATGAATTAGATTTGAAGTACCTGGGAGCCTAGCACAGCGAGTTTGGACCAAGTGATGCACATCTTCATGTATTATTTAGGCTTCCTGGTAGTAGTTCAATAGAAAACATAAACTTCCGAGTTTCGAATATAAATATTACACAAAAAAACACACACCCGCACCCACACAGACATTTTCTTTCGTTGATGTCAGTTTTGCTGGTACAATTTATGAGGGGAAGCTATGCAAGCCACATATCTTGATTGCATCACTTTCATCCAAGTGAAGTTCTTTACATTTTATTTTGATCATTAGCATGTTTCTAGACATCAATTCTCTTGATTGTAGGAAGTTACTTGTAACAAGAAGTAAAAGCAAAATAGTTGTGATGCAGATCATAAAAGGATTTCGTAGCCGTTTATTCTGGATTCTTTTTCTTTTTTTTCATACACCAATATCATAAATGGACAAGCAAGCTTTGTATTTATGGAAACTGAGTTCTCTCTATTATATAGAATCACTTCAACAAAATTCATACAAAAAGAATAATTTTACATAACCATGAACAACAAATCAAGCAAAATCAAATTACAGGTGAAAAATGTATAGAAAAATACAAGAGGTAGGTAACAGGGTTTTTTGTCTCCTCTCACTAACACAAACTGCGTATACTCTGTACAAATCTAGCTATTGAAAGATTCTCCATTGTGAAATGCAGTTTCTCATCTTCTTTGGAAGTTTAGGAACTTGATGCCATAGGCAAAGATGAAGAAGAAGAGGAGGACCCAACCAACGTGGGCAACAACTACTGGAATAAGGAAGTCATGATCAAAACCCAAACTGTCTTTAAGAAAATTGTTCACCGGCACTCTGTCTCCACCGGTGAGCGTGAGGTTACCTGTTCGGTCACCCACTTGAGAAGCGAAGACACCATAAACTGTCCATGCAACTGGAGAAGCCCAGTAGTACCACCTCCACCATATTGGGATAAGCTGCAAAACATTTAAGCATCTTCATTAAAATTATGTTGAATATATGATTTCAGGTAAAAGACATGCACTTTGACCACAATCATCAAATCAGCTTAAAAGTCTTAATTCTGCTGTGCAACTTTTATAGGAAAAGTTCATTTACAAAACTCTATGGACCAAGATAGAAGCAGCAATATCACAAAAGTTAAGCACAACTTCTACATCATTATGGAAAGATTATTCATCAAATTCTTCCTGATTCTTGTCATTGCTGCTCGTTATTTTATGGAGAATCGCAGTCCCACGCTCAACCCCAAACATAGCAAAAAAAGGGCAAAACTAAACAGTTTTCTGTACAAATATAACTATGAAGATGACTCTCGGGGTTTATGCCACATACCGGTCTGGCGATGAGGAAACCAGAGAACAAGTTCCAGAAGCTCACAAAGAAGGACATGACAATAGCAGCAATCTGACTGCCAGGAGTCAGGGCGACAACCATCATTCCATACATTGAGAAGTAGGTATAGCACATAAAGATGAAGTAATAGAAATACAAGAACTTCTCAGCTGTCCAGTGGAACCCAATCATCGAGTACAGAAGCAGCACATAGAAAAATGTCTGAATTGCAACATAAATAGTCTCTATGGCCACCTGAAACGGAAAAATACAGATAGTCATTAGAAGTGTTCCCATAGAAATCACTCGGTGGAAGTGAGATAAATGATATACACACAAATGCTTATATATTGAAAAATTCAGAAGTATATTCTGTCTTTTACCTGGGCAAATGCATAGGGCAACTCCGAATACATTCCTGCAGCTCTTTCACGATAGAAAACTGTTCTCTCAACTGATACAACAGATTGCACTGCAGAAGCATTGCAGGCTCCTAGGAAAAGGACAGCTGAATAGGTTGCTCCCAGCAGATTAAGCAGGTCTTGCTGTCTATATCTGTTGCCGATATATACATATGCAGTTCATGTTAGTTTCAGTTTATAAAAGCAAAAATGTTTTCTGCAGATATGAGCACTGGCATTTTGATGGAAAAAACGAATATTTTTGACTTACATCTGATCTCCTTTGTTCCAGAAGATGACACCGAATATGACGCCAATGACGATTGTCATGAAGAATCTGATAGCGTTGTACTGTGAGTTCCGCCAATAGGACCAGTGTTGTTTCCAGAAACAAGCCTTGCATTGAGTTATAAAGGACTGGGAGTATTGGGTGGGGAAGTAGAGATCTTTGGAACCCGGTGCAGGAGTGCTTAGCTCCTTTATAAGCTCCTGATTTCTCCTGAAAAAGAAAATTCAAGAAAGGTTTAGTAAAGAGATTGTGGGATCAAAAGTAACATCAAGGCCACAATTTTGTCTATCAATTACCGATAGAGGTCAGAATTGGCATAAATTTCTGCAAAGTCAACGTCAAGTTGAGCCTCAACTGCAGAAGCGCTGACCTCCAACATCCACGTAGCTGGATTGTAACCATCTTTAATCTTGGTAACGCCAGGGACAGCCTGCAAGAGGAATTAGATATTAATAAAATTTGAATTCCCAACATCTGTAATTTTTAGTAAACTTTAGATATGATAGAACATGTTTGAGGACACTAAAGCTTCTGACCGAAGCAAACATTCAAGGAATCCATGTTTATGGATATAGCAGTCAGGATTTTATGCTAAGTAGGTTTCCATTATCCATGGAGAAACTTAAAGTTGTATAATATCATAGAATTCAAAATATGGATAGAGTTCATCATCAAGGGGATCATATTTCCCTTACTATTCGAGGGAGCGTCTGAATGCTGATGTCTGAGAAACTATGCTTACTTCAAGCAAGAAGTTTGATTGGATATAGCAGCAGAAAGGATGTAAATGATTTGATAGCAAGATAGTATGGCATCAAGCACGTATAGAGAAAAAGGAAACTCACCTCAAAATATTCAACAAGCATGTGAGAATGGCGGCCAAGTGGTCCCCCATAAATCACTTGTCCTCCTCTCTTCATCAACAACAGCTGCAAGACAAAAAATTTAATGTCAAAAATTGTACGAAGTGAGGGTGAGGTACACATATGCAGAAACTATTCAATTGAACCATACCTCATCGAAAGCTTCAAAAATATCTATGCTTGGTTGGTGAATAGTGCAGACCACAGTTCGACCCGTATCCACCGTGTTTCTCACAGTACGCATGACAATTGCAGCAGCCCTAGCATCAAGCCCTGATGTAGGCTCATCCATAAAGATGATGGAGGGATTAGCAACCAATTCAACAGCAATGGTTAGCCTCTTTCTCTGTTCAGTTGACAGACCATCTACTCCTGGAAGTCCGACTAAAGCATTCCTCAAGGGATTAAGTTCAACTAATTCCATGACCTCCTCAACAAACATCTGCAGTAATCAAAACATGTCAAACAACAATTCCCATATTCAATTTTTGTATGCACGAGAGAAATTCAATAATTTTTCTGATTCAGTTACATGCCTTTCGTGTTTCTGTATTCACATCTGAAGCAAGACGCAGCCAGGCGGAGTACAATAGAGATTCATAGACAGTGACATATGGTGAATGAATATCATTTTGTTCACAGTAACCACTGACTCGGGCGAAAGTTTCTTGATTCTTTGGGTAACCCGAGATGCTTATGCTTCCTTCAATGTAACCACCAGTCTTTCTACCAGCTAACACGTCCATCAAGGTGGTCTTTCCAGCACCACTGACACCGACTAATGCTGTCAGAATCCCTGGTCTAAACGCACCACTAACATCTCGTAGCAGTTGCAGTCTGTCTTCTTCAACCCCTTGAGTCCTCATCTCCTGATGTAAAACAGCATTTACAAGTTAGCAGAAGTTTCTTGGACTGAAGACCTATAGTTAACAGCATATAAATTCATGCCAGATATACAAATTAAATGAACACTTGAGCATATAATTCTGACTGTCACAGTTTTTCATTCTTGGACATCTTTTTCTGTAGGTTTTTTATATAAACTTGCATTAACAGAGACTCACAGCAGGCATATCCACATAGTAATTCACATGGTTGAATGCAAGTGAGAGTGGCTGGAAGGGCAAAACCATTCCTCTTCTTGATTCATTATTTGCTGCACCAGTTGAGCTTCCTTCAGGATTTCTCACAGCCATTTGAATACCTGTAATTGTAGGTACAAATTGAATGAGCAAAACAATAACATAGAAAAAGTTTACCATTTACATGCAAGCTATTCAATGGCAAATGGGCAAAATGAATTAGCTTCCCCCTTGAAGAACACTGCAAATATTAGGATGTTTCAAGGATGAGTATTTTCATTGGAAAGCTTGTTAATATTCCAACTCATGTCAGCACTTACAGGAGTGTCAGCACTTACAGGAGTGCCTCAAGCAACTCCAGGTTGTGTGTTTTGCATTTTATAACAACACTTTTCTAATGAATAGCAAATGCAATACATAGTTCCCTTGTGAGAAATCCAATTCTTGTAGCTTCGCTTATGTCATATCTATCTATGACACTCCCTTGAACTTGTTTTCTTGTTCTGAATGTTATCTAGAGTTATTAATTATTAGGTCCTAGGATTACTTGATTTGCTTCCCAAATCTGCAGAGCATGTATGCCATCAAGCTGAGAAAAACAGAACAAAGAATCTACACAAGAAGCAAAATAAACAAACGACAAACCTTGAGCATTTGAAGCCATTCGCTGCTTATTCTTATCTTCATTATCCTCCTCTGTAATAAGAGCTTTTGAATCTCCCAGAGCTGAGATTGAATTTTAACATAATGAAGTTAAAATATGTAACGGGCTACCATTTATCTCAGCATAAATGCAAGACATCAAGTGGGGCATTAAAAACATACGATTTAAATATGTCAATGCAAGGATGAAGAGAACATTGAAAAGAAGAGAAAATCCCCCAAGTGCTGCAACGCTAATCCAGTACCAATATTCGTCTGTGAACAGGCCTCGGTCACCTAAAACAATCTTTCCAACTGTAGTGCTATTCACGGGCTGTGCCAGTTAAAAATTAAAGTAACAAATAAGTACAGAAAACAATTAAGCTCGTACAATAGCTTTTCAAAACTGAAATGTTGGAGATTCACTGCAAAGAATTAGATGGCCTTACAGTGCTCCATCTCTCATCAAGAAACTCATTGATGGCAATTGCATTTTGTCCGTACATCATGGGAGATATATAATAGCCCCAGATCATCCAGTCTTGGATGGCATCTGTGGTATGAAAACCAAAATAGTTAATTCTAATATCTTGAAAAAAAGGGAAGTCAGCAGTGCCCTGTTTAAGAGTTGCATATTCAACTACTTATTTGAGCAAAAACAGTATTGGTAACATCCAGAAACTATTTATTTCCTTACCTTTGGAAACAATAAAACCTCCAAGAATAAAAACCAACAACAAGGTGAAGGTACCAAGAGTGTTTGCAACGACTTGTGTCCTTCCAAGAGCTGCAATGAAACGGAATAAAGAGAGAGCCATCTGATGGACCCCACAGAAAGCCAGAAGTTGTTTGAAAAACCTGAATATGTTGGGGATTTGTCAGCATTGGATCAACTTTAAGAAGATCATTGAAGAAATGAAATTAGCTGAACGTGAATTTGCACTAACCTACTGGCAGCAGGTGCAAAGCCAATAGTGTAATATGTAAGAACAATCCATATCACAGATTCCGCTATAGAAATGGGAATACGGAGGAGCCAAATTGGCATAGCGAAAGCCCATGCTGGGTAGAATAAGAAATCCCTCTGTTTGAAAAACACAGGAAGCCTGAATATTGTCATTGCAAGCTCTGCCATCCCATTAAACATCACATTAATCAGACTGAAGAACAGCGCTCCATAAAACTTGCCAGAGTCGGGAATGGTTCCATATTTCATCTCGGTTCTTAGAAAAACAGTCAGGGCAATAAGTGCCATGATTGTTATCTGGACAGTTTTGAATATGTACACGAAAGAGTTGCGCTTCATCAGTAGCCACTCCCTTGAGAAGCATGCCTTAAAGAGTTCCCAGTTGGAAATGCCATATTTATCTTTCACCAGTGCAGCAGGATGGGCTTTGGACTTATCATAGGGAATTCTGAGTTCTTGCACAACTTGTTGTCCAATGTGGAAAGCGTTGAATGCCCCTGCGAACTCAGGCACTGAAACATACCTATAAGGTTGATTCTTTTTGAACCAATATTGTTCTTGATCTTTCTTGGAAGTAACTTCCTGCAGAAAGTCTGCAATTCCTTTCCTTTCAGGGCATTTGAATCCCATGTGTTCAAAAAACTCAAGCACATTCTCACGTGGACCTTGATAGACAATCTGACCATCCGAAAGTAGGATAACATCATCAAAAAGATCAAATGTCTCAGGAGCAGGCTGCAACAGAGATATGACCATGGTCACATCCATAATGTGAACCATTTGCCTCATGAACTTGACAATCTGGAAAGTGGTGGAACTGTCCAGCCCTGTTGATATTTCATCCATGAAAAATGCTTTTGCTGGTCCAACCAACATTTCCCCTGCATTCAGTACAGCCAGTCCCATTTAGGACATTCATATGTATTTGTGTTTTCAAGTCCAAACGAAGGATGAGTAAGGCTTTCACTTATAAGAAAATTTTTACCAAATATCAAACAAATGTTTAACGCACCAAAACATGCTTTAAGTTAGTTTAAATATGTTGGACTGCTTTTAACACATTTTTTGGTTTTAAGGCAAGTTTTTGGTATACAGATGAACACAGTAGGAACTTCATACACCACTAAGCATGGGACTGTTCCAACGGCTGAAAGACCTCTACATGATTCGTAAACGTTTTGTTAAAACATAAGTTAATATTATTTTTAATGAAATGCTTCCCAAAATTTTACTGTGATTCACACCTACCAGTGGTAACACGCTTCTTTTGTCCACCAGAGATGCCCCTTCTCATGTCATCTCCCACCATAATATCAGAACAGATATCCAATCCAAGTATCTGTAACAGAATCACAAGATGTTAGAATAGTCACTAGTATAAGAGCACAAATATTCAAGTTTCTTACAAAGAGAACAGACCTTGAGAACATAGTCCGTGATCAAACTGGTTTCCTGGCCAACCATGGCTGTGGCTTTCATGAATGCGTCAATCTCAGGATCTGGCTTTATACCCGCTTCTTTCTCTCGCCTTGACAACTCTGCCAGCATCTCATACCTTGTTCCAACCCCCAAGCAACGTCCCGAGAAATCCATTGTCTCACGGACAGTCATCTCACCATAGTGAAGATCATGTTGGCTAATGTAAGCACATGTTCTTTCAGGAACAAATTCCTTAAACTCATGGCCACAATAGGTGATTTTTCCAGTTACCTATTCATGAAATCAATAGGTCAATAGTGGAAATCTACCATTATAATTAGCTTGATTGTGGAGAGGACATGGAAAATGAAAGAAAATATGGAGTAGAAAGTTCCAAGGTCAGAAGCTGCCTTTTCGTTTCACATGTTCTACTGCAAACCAGCTGAGCATATACAAGTAGCTAATTAATAGAAACTCAAGGGAAATGGGAGAAAGGATGACAAACCCTTAAGTCATCATCAGGTTTCCCTGCAAGTGCTCGCATCAATGTTGTTTTTCCTGAACCAGGAGGTCCTAGAAGCAGTGTTAACCTGTGAATCGATAAGCAGTAAGTTAATTATAACGAACGACATAAAATTAAGCAGTATACTAACTATACATATGGTCTTTTTGAAGACTGTAGTGGTAATGACAAATGTCAGGGCCAATCTCACATTGGAAGAGTGGTGTGGAAAATAAGTAATAATATGCATTTGGTGGCCTCACTACATTCAGGATTAACTTTTTTTTTTTTTTGTTAATTTGATTCAAAACACATAGGTTTGGCCTTGATTATTAGACTCCCCCACCGCCCTCTCTCCGACATGTTGTATAACTTGTATTAGAGAGGATGGCTGAAAATCTTGAGTGAATTCTCAAAGCAGCATTGATAATGGCTCGGGAGAAGAACGGGGATGTATGATTTCAAGTTCGTGTTAGTTATAATCAAGTTCGTGTCATAAAATTCGTATTGTATAAATAATATATAGACAAATAAGATATATTTCAATACAAATAATTAATTTTTCATCCACTTTCTTTCCAATTTTAGAAGGATTAATTTTGGTGAGTTGAAAGAAAAATTAATTCATACACTTTTTCATCATTCCTATTTTTCTTCCTTACCAAACATGATGTTTTATTTGTCCCTTCAACTTTTCATCTTCCCAATTTTCTATCCTTTCATTTTTCTATCATACCAAAACGGTGCATGAAGGAAAAGTTGAAATCCGATGTGGTTCACATGTGAGGGGAAAATAGTTAACTACACAAGTGAGGGTTAGTCACATATCAAAAGAAAGAATAATTGGGTGGGTTTCCTATTTATAGACTCCTTTTGTAATTGGGTGGGTTTCCCATTTATTGACTTTAAGCTTTTACGTGAGTTAGGTTCTAAACATTGTGTGTTAGGCTATCTTTCTCATCTCAGCTTCCCCAGTCTCCCCCACACGTTAATATTCAGCCTTTTCATAGAGAGATCTCAACATCAACTACTGTAAGAATCAAATTACATATCTGGGAATTCATGAACACACCTTGATGGTTTAATAACTCCATTCACATCCTTGAGTATCTGGACAATTCTTTTCTTTGATGGAGACAGATGAAGCATTCCAAGAAATCCCTATGCATATTACAGATCCAAAATTTAGAGAACATTCTCAAAACGAGTAGAACATACGTTTGGAAATAATTCCCGTAGTGAAAAATTGATCCTCTGTACTTTATATCAGTTTTCAACTCAACAATGGACAAAAAGTACTGAAAAACGTCGTTCACATAAAATTTGCTAACAACATTTACCCAAAAAAAAATTTGCTAACATAATATTATATAGTATAAAGTAGACACTGAATACCATAAGAAATTACCTCTATTGCATTCAAGGTGGAATTGAGCAGAGTTGGAAGTGCTCTGCTCCCAACATATGCATCTCCCTCAATAGATAAATTCTGGAATCTAACTTCAATCTTCGGAATCTCGATTCCTACCCTATTTCCATCAAAATTAAAACCCCACGGTCAATATGATATTAATTGGAAAATAAAAAATAAAACACCAGATAAAAACCCTTCTGATATATTTCTTTCAAATCCAAAAGAAACCAAAATTTTGTAGATGCAAGTGAAGTAAGGTCTCCAGTAATATGAGCTTCATATGTTCTTCTTTTTTCCATTTTCTCAGAAATCAAACAGAATCGTTCAAAACAAAAACAGAAATCTAAAAGAGATAAGAAAGGCTTACCTATCAGTCCGATTTCTAAGCCTTTGGAGGAACTTTTCATTATCATTCTCAACAACCTTGAGAATGCTCTCCATTAACTGCTTCTTATCCTGATCACCAAGGTTAGCAACATCAATCTCATCATGAACAACCCTCCCATTACTCATCACCTGCCTCAGCATCCCCTTCCTCATCCTATCGTACGTAGGCAGCCTCTCTATGGCGGCCCATTTCAGCTCCTCTTCATCATCCACCATCTGCCTCTGCGTACTATTCCTCATGAACACATCCGGCGGTCCTTGCCAAATGTCCCGTATACTCTGGGACCGCCAACTCCTACTACTCCTAGCCGAACTCCTCGCCAAATCATCCCCCGCCACCAGCGCCGCCGCCATTTTCAACTTTCTGCGATCACCAGGCCTCCACTTGGTATGAATTCTCTCTCAGACAATAATATCAAACACTATGTCGACTTGTTACGATACACTATATACCCACCACACTGCTTTGAATTCCCGCTCCACAAAGTATCAACAAAGCACGCAGACCAGTAGATTTGTTGAAAATAATGAAAGAATGACAATGGGTATGACTTTTTCTTCCCTTAATATGATGAACCCAACTTGCAGTTTCTGTTTCAAAGACTTTGGTGAAGGGAGAAAGAAAACCCGTGGGTCGATATTTTCTTGGAGGAGATTGATGAAGGGGATATATAGAGAGGAGGTGACTGAGAAGGTACATTTTCTTTCTCTAAATCTCTGTCTCTCTCTCTCTAGACTAGTCAAATCGAGTCTGCGAAACCGTTGTTTCCCCACAGCCATTAAATTAATTAATTAAATGGGTTGTTTGACTCGAACGTGTGGAAGGGAAGGAGACGTATTTTGATGACCAATTGAAGATCAAGTAGAAGAAGCTTCTATTCAACCGCTTGTAGTAACTCTCACGCAGCGGTGGAATGGGGTGGACTTTCTCTCTCTTGACAATTCAGATCAACTAATTTTCTATTTGGAGAGGATTTTCATGCATCAGCCAGGGTTTCATTGTGCAGAGTAAGGAAGATCACGTGTGCCTGTTGAAGAAGTCATTATATTATATGGGTTGAATTTTTTTATTTACTTATTAATCTAAAAGGAGTTTTGATTTGAATTTTTAATTTTTTTATTTACTTAGAGATGTTCATGGATTTTAAGGTTTTCGGAAATTAGAAGTTCTAAAAGTTCAATTTGGGCAGATCAATCTAAGTTCAATTAAAGTTTAACCCAAAATTATTTAGTACTTAAGTAGGAATATTCATACTCGGGTTAGTTTTTTGAAGTAAAAACCTTAACCCAACATTGATTCGGTTTGAAATCTTTGATTAAGTTGAAGTCGTTGCTTCGAACTCTCTCCCAGGTTACTAATCAGTCATATAAAAAATGACTGATCTATAATAATGTAATTCATACTCATTCTGGAGTAAGATTAAAATATCTAATATTTGGATAGAGAATAATAGTATTAGGGTTGGGCAGGGAAAAAAAACACAACTTAAAATCATCATTTAAATTCCACCATATTTTGTGATTGGAGTCTCAAGTTCTCTAAATCAAGTTTTATAACCTTTGAATCTAAGTGACTTAAATTCAAATTCTAACTCGAAAATTTGTGTACTATGCATTCATGAGTTTAAATGAAGTTAATGTTTGAATTTAATAGTTTAAAGAAAATTAACCTTTGAGAGTTAGTTCATGACTTCTCCGGATGAATTGGTCCCGGCAACCTACCCTAATTACACCCTTTAATGGTGAATGTCACCACACACCTTTGAGAGTTAGCTTGTGACTTCTCTGGATGAATTGGTTCGAATAATCTACCCTAATTACACCCTTTAATGGTGAATGTCACCGCGCTTATCGGGAATATTTCCTTAGCTTTTAAAATCCAAAGTCTCACATGTTAATAACATAGTAAAGAGACACAAAAGAAAACCATGCTTGCTTTTTGAGGAAGATGCCACGAAAAGTCGTTAGGATGGGCCTATTGCTTTATTCTATATACATTTTAGCAGGACATCAATACTGCCCTTCAATGGTCATTGATTGGATTTTTTTAATTTACATCCCAAAAGTTTTACTTTATACTCTTAATATATTAAAATTATTGTAATATCGCCCCTTATGTCGACTTTTGTTTGCTCATTTCATCTACGTCAATGGAGTGATTTTTGATTGAACGAGCAACAAAAGTTAAAAAAATAATCACATTGTAATAATTTTAATATCTGAAGATATAATATAAAAAATTTAATCGTAAAAGTGAAAAGTAACAATTCTTAATTTTTTGGGGGAAGAAAGTGTGATTCCCCCTTCTTAATAAATAATTTGGTATATTAAGGGCCCGCAATGGTGTAAAAGGCCGAAGAATTTCAAAGACGAAAGTAAGACGGCTTCTGGATGGAGAGGATCAACGTCCACCACCCTGTCCTAGTCCATGTAACGAAATCTAAAATGACACTTTCCGTGTTGACATTAGTTTTGGACTATGAAAATTAAATGATCAAGATTTAATTATTTTATCATATTAATAAAATAGTTTAAGTTCAACATAATTTTAATTTTTTATTACAATTTCAATCAAAAATAAGAGGAAAAAAAAAAACAACCCTCCATGGTATAAATTATGCATACAGTAATGTTAGTTTAACCAAATATTTAGATTAAAATTACAATCCAAATAATCTGATCAATCTATCTTATTAATTATTGGGATCTTACCACGTTATTTGGGTCGTAGATTTGATCCCAAATTTAACAAGTTTAAAATTCGTCGTTTGCAAAATGGCAATGATGCCCACTTCATAATAAACAAATGAACCAAAAAATAATTTTTTTTTTCTTTTATCCAAACGAACTCAATCAATCATTTTCAACGGTAAGAAGTAAAACTAAAGAAATCTTTCTTTATTTTTATGGATAACAAATTTCTTTTTAAATATAGTTGGGAGACTTTACCCAAGAAATGGGTAAAAAAAAATAGAATGATTAGAACATGGGAATAGATTTGATACCAATAGAGGCTACCCATTTCAATTGTTGTACTATTTGAATTTGCATACCTATAAAAGATTCAAGTTTCGATCGATATTTGTGGAGTTGATCATCCATCTACCAATAAAGTTGTAGACACCAAATAGCAAAGTAGAAAATTCATGAATAAATACAATATAACGGAGGGATATTACCGTATAACACTATTGATATGTGGTATTAATTAATCAATTAAAATAGAGAAAAATAGGAGTATAGTTATGGTATTTTATGTTTTACTCAGTATTTTACTTAAAATGATAGGGTCTGCCTAACGAAATATCTACAAAATATCTTTAGTTGGACCCTGGCCATCCAAGTGATATTTTTAGTATGAATAGTGCCTAAAATGAGTCCATGTCTTCTTTACTTCACTTCATGTTCAATTGACTGTTTTCATGTTACTAAGATATGTTCATGTTCGATTGACTGTTTTCAGGTTAACCAGCATTATTTCTCAACTTGTGTGTGTGTGTGTGTGTGTGTGTGTGGTGGTGATTTGGAGGGACGGGGGAGATGCATAGTGATAAATAGTCAAATCTAGTCGGATGAATGAGTATGAGATGGTCAGACTGTCCAATTTAATTTTTTTTAATACTTAAATCAAATACACCGATGTCGACATATAAAAACAAATGGATTGCCTCCCTGGCCATGACATAAAGTACATCAATTTTTAGAGGGCATAATGCATACTTTAACCTATAGACCTTATTTAATTTGTTTATAGCCAATAATTTTAAATATAAAACTGTAAAATTGAATAAGAAAATCAAAGAGCTTTATATATGCCATGTTTGTATTAAAAAAGGATATAATATTAAAGATAATAAACACGCGGGACACAAAAATAAGGTTTGGCCTAGTTCCCCTCTATAACCCTATTTTTGGAGATTCTGTTGCACCAACTTTGACCACAATAGGTGGGCAAAAAGTCCGCCGGACCCGGTTGTCCTCTAAGAAGGTATGCCCCTTGAAATTTCTTTGTCCACATCTTCAAGCCACCATAGCCTTGACAGTTGTAATAAGGCTAAGACGAGGGACAGCCTGGCTTCCTTCGAGTGTACTACATAATCAATACCGCACGCGAAGGCTAACACCGAATCCCGTAAATATAAGGTAAAAGCATAGTACGCACTTGCGTCGGCCGGTTGAGAGGTATCCCGGGGTGCGTCAATTAATTTTGGCTTGACAGACTTCAGTAAATGCTTGGGGCCAACCAGCTACACTTAAGCTTAGTGATGGGACATTTTCGGAATATTCTAAGATGAAGACACATGTTCTCGGTATAGTTGATGGGACAGTTCCAGAATATTTCAAGATGAAGACACGTGTCATCGGTATCACTGATCCTTGTTATCGAGATCACGTACCCATCGGGTCACAAGTCTCCTCTACCCCGAGGCACTTATCATGGGATCGAGTGGCATTCAGTACGCTTTTATGTACCGACAAATATCCTCGGTCTGATATGGTACATTGGTCGCTAGGCCTCCCTCTCTCGGATTCAAGATATACCTATTCCTCGGTTCCGAGATATACCTCTTCCTCGGCTCCGATATGTATCTCTTCCTCGGTTCTGAGATGTACCTCTTCCTCGGTACCGAGATGTACCCCCTCTCATCCAGGATGAAGTTCTCTGCTCCAGCAGAGGCTATTGATGCACTGATCACTAGCCTAGGCTAGGCTAGGTTAGCTATCATGACCTCATCTTACACAATTGGTGTCAGAAGGTACAGGAAGGCAGGGGCCACAGCCAATGAGGAATGAACGCGTGGCATATTGTGTCACATCAGAGACAGAAAGACCGCATGACCTTGCTGACACGCGACTTGAGAAAACAAGCATTTAATTACAGCATTCACTTGATGGGACTGCATTCAATGCAGTAAGGCTCGGAAGTGAAAGGCAATAAATGTCTCTAAGGCTGGGCATTTATTGCATCCTCCCCGAGAGGAGCACATTGAACCGTCGTCGGTAGGCCGATGACACAGTCTTGGTTGCTCAAGGTCCCGAGCAGTTAAGAGAGAAGACATTCCTCATAGGAATTAGTGCGCACGTTGCCCGTATCTAATGATCACCTACTGACCACACTGACAGCAATAATGAGTATTTGAGGTATAAATACTCCTCACTAAAGGCAAGAAAAGGGAGGTGAAATTTTTACTACAAATTATACTCAGTATTTTCTTCTTCCTCTCTCTCAAAAATTGACTTGATCGTCGGAGGGGATATGCCGGAAAACACTCTGACGCCCTTCTAACTTGTTCTTCTTTGTTCCAGGAACCTTCCTTCAGCCTTACTGGATCATTCCTTTGATCCACGAGGATCTCTCATTACCGTTCCAGGTTACCACAAGATCTCACAGGCTGTTCCAAACAGCGGGGTTAACCATTCGACTGACTCACTCGAGTTCACCAAGGGAGAGATCTGTTCTCGTTTTTATATTGTGCAAGATCCAGCACGCACAATCTGGCGCCGTCTGTGGGAAACGACTAGTTTTCCTAGTTTTTTCTCTATAAAAAACAGTGATCATGGTGAACACTCGACAAAAAAGAAAGGTCCCCACCAAAGAAGTCTCGAATTACAAGCTCCCTGTCACCACGGAGGAAGGGATCACACTGATGAGAATAAAAATGCTTCTACTCAGTCAAGAGGGGTTACCCCTCAAACCAGTATAGGAATCAGGTCAGGAGGATCAGCCCCACTGGCTCGTCAGCTGGCGGAGGTAATCGAAGAAAAATTT